GGCCTTCACCTTCGACGACGAGGATGACGAGCTGTCACAGGTAGGGTCCGACCCCGGGTCTGCCGGGGCGCCGCGGCCCGGCGTCAGACCCCCCCCGAGCCAGCCTCCCCGTGGCCGTCTCAGCCCAGGCCTCGGCCCCGCGCTTCGCTGGGGGTCTGTGCTTCGTGGGTGGGGTGGTTTGCTTGCCTTCTGCCCTGTGTGGAAGCCACCAAGTGCTCCCGTCTCGCCCCCCATGGTAGCCAATCCGAAATCTCATTAGGACCGTGGCTCCTCGCCCGTGCACCAAAATGTATCTCCTGCTGGTTGAGCTGTCAGTGTCTGTGTAGGTGTTGGTGGCCTTTCGATTCCCAGTGGTGAGGAAGGGCTGCTGTGTCTGTTGAACGCCTACAGGCGTAAGATATGTCCTCCGGAAGAGGCATTGGAAGCTGTATTCAGAGCTCTGAGACTGTTTGAAGGTAATAGGAAACAAAGCGCACTCTGCAACACTGGTGGTCTTTATACAAGCTCTTTCTTTTGTCCATAGCTAAAGGAATCCAAACGGGCAGTGAATAGCCTTCGGGACATTGTCGATGATGATGATGACGACCTTGAGAGGGTCAGCTGGAGCGGAGAACCTGTGGGAAGTAAGTGCAGAAGTACTGCAAGTTATCCTTGAGACAGAGGCAATTTAAAATTACAGCTTAAGTCATGTCATTTAGTCAAGCTCAGTAGTACTACTTGCTATCTAATCCTGCATATCTAATCTAATTCTAGTCTCCTTAGGTCACATTGTGAGCTGCTTGATTTACCTGTGTCGATCCACTGAAAAGAGAGCGAGCAGAAGCCCAAATTACATAAAGAAGAGTGCAGACAAGTGGAGGGAATTCACTGTGTTTTTCCCGATACGTAGCCCAGCTTAGAGCAGATATTTTGGAGGTTATGGCTTAATATTCATCATACTCAGCTGGCCTGCAGGATTCTAGGTGATCATTACCTTCACACTGCTACCTGAAATGGCACCATTTAAAGTTCTCTGTGCTTTGTCCCCACAGCACTTTAAGGAGATATTCCAAGTTTTAGTGTGTGTTTATAGACTGACTCTTATGCTTGAAGTTTGAAAGGGAATTGTAAGCATTAAGCAAATGCGTTTCTAGTGATGATGGGAGCAAGCTCATGACTACACACGATGCTGTCTGCCACGCTTTGGAGTTCGTGACCCTCAGAATATGTGGCACTCGCTAGCCAGTGCCAAACAGTGAAAATTTACATTTGGATCACCCAGAGGACCTTCAAAGAGTCTATTCTTCTTGTCCTATGCTGTAGCTCCTCCCTCTGGTTCAGGCCATTTCTTTTCCCACCCAAGGTCTCTACCTATTGGCTTTTTTGCTCTATCACCCTGTCTTAAAACGTGTGTGTTGTGCAGCTGCATGAAAAGAAGGGAAAACTGTGTCTCGAACAAGCAGGAGGGAGACATATGCATTGTTGCCAGCAGCGTATGCACATTGTTAACTGTTTTGTCTGTGTGGGGAGGAAAACTATCTTAGTTTTCCAGTGTTCAGGAAGGTATGCTCTTATGCTTCTGTAATTTGAGGTAAGCCAGGGATTCTCTGTCTTGCTCTGTACCTTTAGAGCAAGGATTATGCTTTACCCCATGCAACAACATAGAAATGCTGGGTGGTCTGTGCTTTTTTTTTAAAAAAGCCATAACCAGCTGTACAGCATTGCTGAAATCAATCATTTCTGGAGGACAACGCGCAACTGTTTCACAAGCAGTACTACACGAGATTGGGATTCTGTGCACTGCATCTACTTAGTGGTGAGGGTCAAAGTTATCGGGATGTACTCAAGCAGAACTGACCAGGACACACTCGGTAACATTCCTGTTGTGCTGTAAGATCATTCTTTATAGACTGGTTTTCTCTTTCTCTGTTATAAATGACCTCTGTCTGCACATAGGTATCTCCTGGTCAATCAAAGAGACAGCCTCCAGCAGCACTAGCTTGCTGGAGGGCCGAGACTCCAGCCTACAGAAGGGCTCTTCCTCCTATGCTGCTCTTCCCAAACAAGTTTCCTCCTACTCCCTAAGCAGCCTGTTCAAAGGTGAGGTTCCTCATATACAATATGGACAAATGGGTTTTCCCTCAAGAGTGTCAAGGGGCAGTTGTGTTTTCTTATGTAAATTGTCTTCTCTTAAGTGTGTGGCAAAACAGGGAAGCTCTGATCTCTCCTCAGTGTGGGAGTGTATCTCTCACTGGTCAGAAATTGGAGACTGTCTTGTACAGAAGATTGCATGCTCCTGTGGTATGGGCGGGGCTTTTGCGATTATGGCTTCTTAAAAGCCAGGTTCCACAGAACAGCAAGGTAGAGCGTAGCACTATACAGCAATCTGTTTGCATTGTGGAAAAAAGCAGGCTACAAAGGGACTGGCTTGACCCACGTGGCCCTCGTTTGATCTTCAGTACTGTAGAGAAGACAGGTTGATTATCCTTTATTTGGAGCTCAGCTGGCTGCTGTTGATGTTATAGTTGGTTCAGCAAACACGTGGTAGCAGCAGTGGTAGCATAGCCGGTTATGGGGGGAACCGCGCAGCAGGCCATGGGGAGACTTACACAGCTTGTCTGTCTCACAGCCAGACAACAAACCAGCTTTTACTTTGTCTCTCTTTCTTTGGGGTGGTTTTTTACTCTCAACTTTGATAATACAGTGATAATGAAAGGCATCCAAATCGCAGCCCTGGTGAATGCAAGCTGTCCATGTTGCCATGGCCTAAGCAGTGCTGTGTGCTTGAGCCTCTGCTCTGCAGGTAGATGAGTGAATTCAGGCTCTCTAACCTCTCCTGGCCTCAGCAACAAGAGGGCAGATAGGGCCAGGGTGTGATATGGTTTGTGATGCCACAGGCAACTTCAAAGCCTTAGACTGCAAGCAGGTGAGCTCCAGCTATGCCAGTGTAGTGTGAATCACTGTACAGAGTGGCTTGTTCTACAGTGGCACAGCTGCAGCACACTGGCTTGCAGTCTAGGCTTGTGTTCCCTCTGCAAGAGATGTTGCTGGTGAAGAGACAGTCTCTCATGAGTGTTTATTTTGATTTCAGGACGAAACAAACTTCCAAGTTTCCAGTGCCTTTCAGATGGTAAGTTTTGAATCCCTGCCTCATTTTGGGAGGGGTGCAGATTTACATAAAACAAAACATTTCCAAAAAAAAGGGAAGTGTCATCTTCCTTCTGTTGCAGAAAGAGAAACTGAATCATGGGTTGTCTGAAAGTCATTCAGTAAAGAAGCAAAAGAGTTGGCGTGATGATTTGGGGTAATCTGCTTATGTACAACTGATGCCTGTTGGGTTTAGAGCAACTTTGTATTGCCATTTGGTGCTTGAGTTTGGGTCTTCTACCATGAAAACCAAGAAAAGGGCAGTTTTGGAAGTGGGTGTGAATCAGGATTTTGATGTGCTACTCAGCTTGCCTTTCCCTCTCAGCCCTCTCTGACACAGGAGTTAAAAACTACGCCCCAGAGCTGCGCAGACCGAAAGCTGAGTACAAGGTGAGCAGCCTGTGTTTGTAGTGTGCTGAGATCAGAGTACTGCCAGGAGAACTTCCTACTCTATTGGTTTCATGGGAAGTGATTAATCACTACTTCAGACAGCAGAGGGCAATGCAGGGAATAGGACTGCAAAATGCAGCCTCACAGTAATTTAGGTGTTCTCTGCTTTTGCTCAGAAGTAGGGAGCTTTGCTGGGGGTCTTAGTTACTCCTTCTCCTAATGAATGGCCCAGCAGTCTGTGAAAAAGATTTCTAAATAGTGCTTTGCCTGTAAGTTGCTTTCATGCTGGGTCAGATGAATTGGCATCATGTGTGAATGCGTTTCTAGTGATATTTATTATTTAATTTTTTAAATCTAAAGGCTTCTAAATTTCTTTTTCATGAATCACTGGGACAGCACAGAGGTGGGGTTCCATTTGGCAGGAATG